GGGTGTCGGCATGGCTGGCCGCTGCGGCGTCATCACTTCTGTCGTGGGAACCGGGAGGCGCCGGCCACTGGCGTCCGGTGGCCGCTCTCAGCAGGCTGCTGACGCAGCTGGAGGGATGCTCGGAGCGCGTCCCGGTGTCACCGGCGGCTCTGCGACACGGCCTGACCTCCACAGGGGTCAGCGTGGGCTGATGCTCCCCCTGCCGAGCGGCTCATCTTTCAGAGCAAATGCTCCGGACGGCGGATGAGTGAGGAAACTGTTTTGAGCTACCTGGTATGTGATGCTGAGGACTGTGTTTGTGCAACGGTGCAGAAGAATTGTGCAGTTTCATCATTCCTCTAATGTTCTACCCCTTTTGCTGCGGTCGTCTTTTAGCAGCGCTATTAGCCACAAAACTGAGCGCCTCTGTGCGGTGAGTTTCGGTAGCATGTTGTCGACGTCAGCGGCTGGCTGGTAGCAGACGCCGATGTCAGTTGCAGTCTCTGTGCAGGCTTCTGTAGCAGCACTTGAGCCGTGTTGGTACACAAGTGTAATCCTAGAGCTGTGGCGCTCGGTGACTGGAAAGACAGGTTACAAGACCCGTGACCGTAAACATGTGAAGGGGCTTTACTGATTGAATAATGGCACGTACACTGGAAATCGTTCTTTCTGTTTCCTGCATTCTGAATCTACATGACATCAGCACACGCAAAACAGCTTCCTCTTAGTGTTCACAAATATAGGTACAACCTTTACAGGATACGAGGCTTCTAGGTATTCATACATGCTGAAACTGTACTTACAGGATATCAGTCACAATTATATGTAACTATAAATTTCTGCTGAAAAGGACTTGCTCTTGATGTTTTACGAACAAAATCAGGTAGCAATCATGCGGCTAGGTCTATTTCATATTATTGTTTGAAAGATCATTCGAAAAGTAATTACTTGTTTTGTTGGCCTAATCAATTTCGGTCACTTAGGAATATGTAATTTCAGAAGTCTGAACCGTAGGATGAAAGTGCGACATTGGACTGATTTTCCGCCACCGACTGGTGTGCCACCGCGACTGAGCCTGTCCCGTTTAGGACTGCCGTACTCTGTTGGGACAAGCCAAGCCACCAGCCAGCCATTCAAGCGGTCAGTCCGGAGTAGATGCTATGTAGGTACTGAGATTGCTGATCCTGCACGTCAAGACTATTTTTGCGTTGCACAGTTCACTGCACGGTGAAAATGGCTGCATAGCATTGCCCATAGCATTAGCATTGCCCATTGTTCAGAAAGAAGAGAGAGAGAGAGAGAGAGAGAGAGAGAGAGAGAGAGAGAGAGAGAGAGAGAGAGAGAGAGAGAGAGAGAGAGAGAGAGAGGGAGAGAGAGAGAGAGAGTGAGAGAGAGGGAGAGAGGGCGCCGCAGCTACCTCAACTCCAGCCGCTAGATGTCACTAGGCGTAGCGCCGTGAAGTATGCTGTGCCGCAATGCACCTTGAATGCCTTGAATGCTGAATGCTGATCTGACCGCGCAGTGGTTCAATCCAGCGTCAACTGGACCTATCCTGAGCCCTATTTCACGGCAAGCTGATAGCGGCTTCATTTGCTTCCGGTTTCCATGGAAACATGATTATACTGCATACGGGTGCATAATAAACGTCCCAGTAAGAACGTTGGGGGGACCATCAAAGCGTCCAAAACCGCAGCATCCAAAGTGGGGGACCATCAAAGCGTCCAAAACCGCAGCACCCAAAGTACGCAACATCCAAAACCGCAGCGTCCAAAGTACGCAACGTCCGAAATACGTCCAAAATCGGGTATATAGGGAGCATTCATAACGTCCAAAACCGAAACATCAAAACCGCAACATCCAAAACGTATCATCCAAAAACGCATCATCCAAAGTACGCAACATCCAAAGTACGCAACATCCGAACGTTCATATGAACGGAGACGGGATATGAAATGACCATGAAAAGCAATACCATAGCGTGCGGCGAAACAGATTCTAATTTTTGTAGCTGCGTCTTCCGGGGGAGGGGAAGACAAAACCTGAAATAATCCAACCATATTCAGGCATTTGCAGGAATTTCGATAGGTTAACGGAACATTTTTTTACGGAGCGAGCGAAGCGAGCGGAGTCTTACGTAGAACCAGTAAAACGCCTTTTGGGCGAAGAACGAGCGAGCGAGATAGTGAGCCCTGCACGTGCGCAAGGGCGAGAGGGTACTTCCAACGGGCTTGTGCAAAGCACCCTTCTAACCGGTCGCTAGCGGTGTGCCAAATTTGAACACAATCAGCCCAGCCGTTCCTGAGATCTGGAAGCGGCATTCTGCACGTGCGCACGTGCAAGCGGGGTCCAAACTGACTTTTACACGCCACCCTACTAACTGGTCCCCAACCGTGTACCAAATTTGAACGCAATCGGCCCAGCCGTTCTCGAGATCTGGGAGCGCGCCCTGCACGTGCGCACGTGCTGTAGCACCCCAACCTTAACACATGCAGATGAAATATCTGATGGAGACCTAACTGTGTACCGAGTTGCAATTCAATCGGCCCAACCGTTGTGCCGTTATTTAGGTTGCAATTTTGGGGGTTCTTAAATAATGTCCAACTTTACCACGCGCCACGTGCGGTGGTTGGCAAGAACGCATGGTGGCCATCACACCACATAACTTTTACGTCCAAGTGACATTCAGTAAAGAAGACCGCTTGTCAATCGGATGTCCCGTTCCTAAGATATTAGCTTTTGAAGAGCGTCCCCACGGCCGGCCGGCCGGCCGCTCATACTCAGGATTTTCCCTTAAAGGTAGTGTGCCAGCTTTCCTGGACCGTATGGAGTTAATGGCCCAGATAAGGAGAACCGGATTTTTAGAACTTATCCATACCTTCAAAACTCATGGAAACGTCTTAAATTCTTCAAATTTTGAGTACCCCAGTGCGAAGAAATTCGCCCCGACGGGTTGTCGGTCGTACCCCAACCACATTTCACACCACTATGAACAAAAAATGCACACACTGAAATCGCTATTACCGATAGGCTCATCCAATCAAGTTTTGATAAACCTGTTCATCATCATCTCCTGCAGTTTCGAACACGCCTGTCAGGTGGTGCGGTAGACCGCGCCCAAAGCCAGGGCCCCGGTAACGTGAGGTAGCCGAGTCGGGGCAGCGTGCGCTGACCCAAGCCCGGGCCGCGCGTCCTCCCGGTGTCATGTGATAGCCCGGGGCTGCCCGGGGATGCGGTAGACCGCGCCCAAGGCCGCGGCCCCGGCTTGGGTCAGCGCACGCTGCCCCGACTCGGCTACCTCACGTTACCGGGGCCCTGGCTTTGGGCGCGGCTTCTGCTCATACTTTGTGGTGCGGTGGTGGTGCGTCGAGCCGCGCGCTCTGACTTCGGCCAAGAAAAATGCGTCAGCTGATCATTGTCATTTCTGCCACTTTCATGTGGTGAGATGGGGTCATAACTTTAGAGACGGCTGTTTCATATCAATTATTTTACATAAAATAATATTTCAAACCATAAATTAATGTTCGACAGCCAAATTAAAGAAACAATACCAATACAGGCTTACAGTTTAAATTCGACATTGTGTTGTCTACGATTAGACAGCTGATAACTCATTCCCGTACGTCGTAACTCTATAATGACCTTTGCTTATTGTCACATGTGCGCCGCATTCGCGATTGTTGCCGACGCCTGTTTGCAGGTCAGCCCACTACAGTTGTTATACATATCAAAAAACCGATAAACTTTTAGGCGAAAAAAGCATTATTTTAGGCCCATTATTGATTTTTTTGCGATATTAGGTAAAAACAGAAGCTTCTTATCCTAGGGAAAATAAAACGGGAAATCATTGGAAGGTGGCACACTACCTTTAATTCAGTATGAACTCGCTCGCTCGCTGCGCTCGCTCGCTCGTAATAACGGAAATTTCTGAGTATGAGCGGCCGGCCGGCCGGCCATGGTCACGATTTTGCGACGCTTATATCTCAGCAACCACTTGACCGATTTACATGCGGTAATTTTTGTAGGGTAGCTTCATTCCTTCTACCAAGTACTGGACTATTCTTGATGCATGTGGGTGACCCCTTATGCACGTGCCACGTGCAAAACGAAGAGGTGTCACTTTTGTAATTGTTGCAATATCTCGGTAACTACTTGGCCAATTGCGCTGAAAGTTGGCATGTAGGTAGGCACCCACTAGGCATTAGGCAATGCATATCCATGTGCCAGAGTTGGGGTGCTGCTGCACGTGCGCACGTGCAGGGGTCGATTCCAGATCTCGAGAACGGCTGGACCGATGGCGCTCAAATTTGGTACATGTTTAGGGACCGGTTAGTAGGATGCCGTGCAAAAGTCAGTTGGGACCCATTTTGCACGTGCGCACGTGCAGGGTGCCGCTTCCAGATCTCGAGAACGGCTGAGCCGATTGTGCTCAAATTTGGCACATCGCTAGAGACCGATTAGTAGGGTGCCGTGCACAAGTCAGTTGGAGGTACCCCCTCGCAATTTCGCACGTGCAAGGCCCACCCTCTCGCTCGCTCCGTTAGTCGCCCCAAAAGGCGTTATACTGGTTTTATAAGCAGTTGCAAGAATACCACCTGAAAAGCTTGATATTCGAGCTAGCTCAGACTGACCCATATTGATGCCGGTGTCTGGCGGGGGCATCGAACGATCATACATTCCTGGGTTACATCCGAAGCGTAGAGTTGTGGGGATATTCGTTCGTTCCTTTTCTCTTTTTGCTTTTGGTGTAGTAATTAGCGAAGTCCGTCACACATTAAGTGAAAGACACCCTATTCTGTGCGACTTACATTTTAAATTTACCTGGACTGGAAATAAGTGATATTCCAAATATGCATAGTGGCTATCCTTTCTTTCAACGCGGTGCACGTTAGAGATGACATGCATTACACGAATTACCGAATTCCTAATTACTTCAGATTCATAACCAAACAATACATATGAACGCAACTTTTCATAGGCATATTCCGTCTTTTGACGTGTATTCCCTCGTTACCTTCGGACAGGATGAAGCTGGCCTCCATCGTACCCAAATGGTCACCTGTGCACAAGCTGAGCCGCCGACTGCGCCCTCTACCTGACCTTGACCCGGTCGAGGCCGGGCCGACGCCCCAGGCGGTGCTGCCAGCTGAGCTGACGGAGCTGGCGGCGGCGAGACCGTTCGCCTCGTTGGGGGGTCCTGCTGCCTGGCCCGTGGTCGGCTCGGCCGGAGCCTTCATCGGCGTGGATCGGACACGGCTGGACCAGCTGTTCGGGCGCCTTAGGGAACGGTTCGGGGACCTGTACCGACTAAAACAGCCACTGAGAGGCACCGAAACAGTCGTCGCGTTCAGCTCACAGGATGCAGAAAAGGTCAGAAGTGAAAAATGTTTCCTCTTTGCATATGATAACATAAATCTATGTTATCTATGCTCTTTGCTATAGCAGTGTGATGGGATATATGAAAAAATTTGCAGCTTGCATTTATCTGCACGCAACTTGTAGGTACTTCCCGTTATTCCAAAACGATGCAATTAAATTATCCCACGAATATCATCTTGTCAATTCGGTCTCAGTTCAGCATCCCTGCTACGCTGTATTCCGTTCCAGGTATTCCGCACCGAGGGTATCTGGCCGATCCGACCTGGTCTGTATCCGGTGCGGATGTATAATCAAATGCATGGTCTCAACAACGGACTCCTGCCTGGGTAAGGCTTCTTCATCATAGCATGTTTAAAATGTAAATAGACGATTTAATTGAATCAGTAATTAGCAAGCTCCTCTGGCATGTCATTATTTCACGAGTGATGATTTACGAGTAACGAAATAAAGCAGATGCATGATCATGAACTAACTGCGAATTGTAGCTGATCAGTTACGACTACTTCCGAAACGAAAAAGCTTGACATCTGACGATCAGTGTTCGCCACGGGCCGGGCCAGCCCAACGGGCCATGGGCCGGGCTGGGCTACGGGCTGGGCCGGGCCCCCAAATATCATTAGTTAACGGGCTATGGACGGGCCGGGCCTAGAGCTTTCTGGACTATGGGTTTTGCGACCGTCAATTTAAGAAAATTTGGAAACTGATGCAAACAAAACCCACTGGGAAAATACTAAAACTAAACCAAATTTAAGCAATGTGAAAGAAAACCTACTTGATTTTGAATTTTGGGAATCTTGAGAATTATCCAATATCACATCATGTCACACATAGGAGGGTTTTCATAAAAATTCCGCAACCAAAAAGATCAGAGAATCTCTAGCATCATTAGTTTGTTAATAAAAATTAAAATGTAGTTATCAGAATAACTTACTTAGCACTACAACTCCAAAAACTATGAAGCCACTCAACAATGATGGGCTACAGGGCTACATTAAGTTTAACACTTATATATGGCGATAGTGAGACAATTCCAACACAGTCTTTCTTCCTTCACCGACGGCTTTTTAACGAACAGAACCTTAAAAGGATACTCACGAAACACACTGTAAGCAACGAGGAATTCTACAGAGCATTTCGCGATGAAAGCTTCTTTAAATGTCCATAAATTTGTCAAAATAAATCACAACAAACCAGCCCCTTTTCAACAAAATTGGCGATCATGGCGCTATGTTTATGTTGATGTGGCGGCATCTAGGTAGTATACACACCAGTATATCAAATTAATACTTTTTTTAAGTAAGTATCAAGATGTAAAACAAAAAAAAAATAAAAATTAAATTTTAAATCACAAAATCTGAAAAGTCGAACGAAAAACAAAATAAAAACTTGATCATATATGTTTTATTATACAATTGGTCAAAATCGCTGCTTGCCGCAGCTGCGACAATCAAGAAGTGTTCGCTCATTTTCAATTGATGATGATGATGCGTAAAAGTGACAAAAGTACCCAATGACATTTCAAGCTTACCATGTTTTCTGCTTACGCTGCTAGCGATATCCATATCTTGAAAAGAGCCTAACATAAAATAGCAAGGAAAGCAGCAGATAGTTGTCCACAGAGATTGGACGACGCAAGGCCCTAAATACAAGGTTGCACGGACTAATTTCTACTAAACCTACCAGAATATAGATTCACGGTTGAGTATTTTAATAAATATTCAATCAAAACTTCTTTATTATTTTCTCGTTATCATTAATAAGCAATTTTATAAATTGACTTTCAATTTGCTTGCCTTTTACTGGCAAAATAACTTTCTAGTATTGGGTCAACATAGTTGTGTAGCAGTAGGAACCATATCTGGCAAAACCCCAATGCCTACATACAGCAGAAAAGCAGCCACCAGGTGTCGCCACAGTCGCCACTTGGTCGCCACACAGATGTCGCGCGCGTCGCCAATCGCCACACTACCGATTTCCATAAGGACGCATATGTACGGATATGTATAGGAAAGTCACCCTTAAGGATTACGCTTACATCCTTTGCTTATGAGGTCGGTGGTTGGAAATTGGGAGGGGCTCAGCTATTTTCGACCACGGATGTGGCTTTATCACATGATGAGGAACATGCTGATAAGCGTTTTATGTGTCATAACAGCACAAAAGTATTTTTAATCATTTTTCAAAAATAGCCGTTTTGCCGTATCTTTCAGTGCAAGGTGCCGTCGGTCATCCCCGACGTTACGTCACGCCGGGGATTGCCAGATTTTCCTACTAGACTTCGACGCCCCCTGGGACGACGGTGAAAACGCGTATTTACAAATTGCAACCGAGCTCCGCCGTAGGGCATTTTATTTCCGCCGTAGTGTATTTCACTTGGGGTATTTTCTACCATACGTCTGCCTGAGCTTGGGGTAATTACAATATGTCGGCGACGTTCAAAAATGATGCACCTTTTTCGCAGTATAGGTTATCGCATGTGCATATTTTTGCCTTTTTGGTTGCGCTTTTCCCTCGCCCGTATAGGGGGAGGCATTGAACGGACCCCATCGGTTTTTCGTGAGTAACTCGCGTAAAAACCGTCCGATCGCGACGAAACTTTCAATACTCCCGATCTTATCAATTTTACACCTACCCTGAAAATTTCATGACCCTAACCCAAATGACCTTTGACCTGTGACCTATTTCTCGAGACCATGTTTGGCCCGAATCGCGATTCGGCGTATGTTGGCTCGCATTAGCCGCGCGTTTGCAGTCTTTACGTGGTTTCAAGCGTTGAAACATGTGATATGATGCTGGTCCTATGCATTAGGGTGGGTGTCAAGGTCACCTGAAGGTCAGGTCATCTCAATGACCTTTGATGACCTCGGTTCACTTTTTCGAGTTTTACATGTTTCTAGGCTAGTTTTTGGAGCTGATTTCGAATTTAGCAACCATTTGAACATTACAGGGGGTGTAACGAAATTATCCGGACACCTTTCTTCCCGCGGTAATTAAAAAGCAAAACATTCTGGTACTTTTTCTTTTAACTGTGCATGTAGCCACCTTCCATAAAAACACAGTGGCGAATGTTCTGGAGCATTTCAGCCACTGGATTCTCCAGCACACTGGCTTTAATGCGGACCAACGCCGTCTAAACCTGTGCCTGCGGTTGGGCGGTGCTTGTGGCGGGCGTCTCTTCAGTCACCTGCTGAACAAGAGCCCACAGGTTTTCGATTGAATTGGGATCGCGACTTTTTCCCAAGTCATAAGCGTTAGCCCAGAATGATTTAAGGTTCTATCGGCATCACTTCCCGTTCTTTTAGGGACTTTTAAGTAGCGCGCCGCCCCGCATGAAGACAGCGTGGCTTGAATCAGGCATCAGTGCGCGTTCAGAAACCGAGCCCTCCTATACCGTCTGGTTGAGCGCCTCCAACCATTCATTGGCCAGTATGTGGCTCCGGTAATACTTGACGTTGATGGCGGTATTATGTGATACTATGTCCTATTGGAGCATCGCTAGCCAGCTGAACATGCTCCAGTTCTGGATATTGTCCGGATGTTTGACGGCGGCGAAGGCCAGCAAGTTCGAGCGGCTGGCCGCCCATACATGACCGATTTGACGGTTCAAAGGATAATACAGCTCGAACGGCTACCCATCCAACCAGACCACCTCACCCTTATCTTTCTTCAGTGGACGCTATCTGGCGTGAGGCGAAAGGTGGTGAACTGGTTGCTTTCCCGTCAGTTTCGTTGCCTTTTTCAGTTTGAAGGGCACTAGAACCAAGTTAAAGGGCGGGTAGCGGTAAACCATAATATGGGATCTCTTATTATCTGACTTGGTAAGAATGACTTGGTGACTAAGGACGAAAGCTACCATGTGAATTGTGAACCCGTCTGTGAATCGACTCCTACTCAGAGCAACAGTCACATGACAAGGTCAGGTCACTGCTGAGTTGAAAACCGATAGCAGAGGCACGTATTCATCCAATATTCCCACTTCTTGGCATCAGAAAGGATTAGGAAACTGTGCATACAGATATGGCGAAAAATAGATGTCCGGATAATTTCGTTACACCCTGTACTGAAGTAGTTTTGGTGCCTTCGTAACATGTTACGAAACTGTCAGAAAATAGCGAAAATAGGAAAAAAATAGCGTTCTGGCCCTCCAACTTTTGCTTATTTGTAGAACTTCGTTGCTTAGCAAACCACTATGTTGTTCGAATTGAGGAGCTTTGAAATGTCCGTGTAATTCAAAATGTTAGTTCGGTAATTAAAAGAATTGATTCAGTGTTGCACATAATCCAACCTAACAACCGAGCATTGCAGGTTTGACGGCTTTTGCCCCACCACCTTCCCTGGAAAAGCTCCACCCTTGCCTATGGGGCAAAACATAAGGGACAAAAACACAAAACAAGACAGATAAAAACCTAACCTACCACAACACCTGCAGAGGTACCTTCCTGAAAAAATGACGCACAAGGAGGTGTCCAACTTATTGGAATATTACCATGATAGCTTGTCAAAATGTGTGTCATCATGCTCTTGTTTGACAAGTGATGTATAATAACTGAGACATTCAGAAATGGTCTCCTGACTGTTGAGTGATCAGAATATTCAAATAATCAGGGTACAATGCTGTGCATCATAGTGCACACAAATCATGTTGTTTTTGTGTAGGCCCTCTGCGCATTATTGTGTACACTGCTATGTGCAGCTTAAGGAAAAAAGTGACTGGTGGTACATGACAAAGGGTTGCGCAACTGTGAAGTTCATGCCCTAGGTCTTGCTGGTGCCAAATACCTATAGCTATAGCAGGATCAGTGAGGGTTGTAGACATGCTACATACACTGTGCAATGTGCATTGAAGATATTGGCACAAAGTTCATCCATACTTACTATGCTTAACACCTAATGTAAGAAGCAACATAAATGCCCCGATGATACAGCAACAGCTCTCTGGTCAACATCACACAAATTTATTGACATACTTTGCAGGTACATATTTACATTCATAGCAAATACTTTCGATTTGATTAAAAAACTAGGTGCTAACAAGCTTGCATTTTTGTAGGTACAGCAATGACCATATATTAAATCATAAAAAACCTTCTCGTGGCATTCATCACATACCTTTTCACCGAACAAGCACCTATCTACTATGTAATGATTCTAAATTTTGTCCGTAATCCACCTATATCTCAACTGACACATTGAAATTAAAATACCTATCCTAACAAAACCTAGAACTGTAGGTACATAAGAAGAATGCAATACTACAATAACTATGAAGTTCTGAAGTTATTCTCACATGCTGGAATGTTGAAACTCTACTTTTGTCGTCCATTTCCACGTTTGATTAAGCAATCATATAGAACTGTTTTCACTTTTCAGTCATAAGCTTTTGCACAAATCTTGAATTTTACACATCATCTTGAACCATGCTCCAGTCTTTCCAACAAGGTACTATGGAACATCAAAGCAATTTTGATTTGTTACAACAGCTTCAGATCATGATAGGCTTGAAGTTTGTGGTATTACCAAGTTTGTTACACCATTTGCCAGACAAACCTCTACAAAAGGTGTATCAATTTCCAAACTAAGCAATTGATTATATCAGTATTTGCAGTTTCCACACAATGTTTCATAATATTATTCGATTTTTATATCAAGAAACTCAAATAATCCACAAATTGTTATTGAAACACTCCCACTTCAAGAGTTCACAGCAATAACAATACAAGTTCAGAAGCAAACAAAAATTGCGCCAGATTTCGTATGAAACGCGCCATCATCCTGAAGTTTCTACCACAGACGATAGTTCAACCGCAGCCGTAGTGCGAAAACCCCTGCCCACCTTACCCCACGGCGGAGCTCGGTTGCAATTTGTAAATACGCGGTGAAAACAGGGCGCCTGGGGCGATTTGATCAAGGTTCGTTAAATTTACACGTGACGTTTGGCATATAGAAGGCCCACAGAGCGGGAGAAGCTCCAAATGTCACGTGACTAATATGCCCTCCGGCGCCCTGTTTTCACCGGCGTCCCAGAGATTCGGTTGACACGTGGGCATGAATTGAAAATAGATTAAATGAGTTTTGCTGATAAATGGATGGATTTTCTCTTTTTTGGAAGACAGTGCTAAAGCTAGTGTCACCTATTTTGTATGCTTTCTCAGGCTTTTGATATTGCAGCATCAATGGATTGAATTTAACAGCAAGGTCAATCCCAGACAGATTCATCAATTCCCATAAGTCAAGCTTTTTTTCTGCTGGTAAGTGCTGGGAAGTATAGAGTAAGTTGCAAATACTTCCTTCAAGTATGCATTAGAGTCACCAATTATGCATGATAATGTTCACACACATCAGCTTGCAAGATAACTTTACTCATAGAATGTAGTTAATATAATCATGTAAACTTTTTATAGGTGTGTAATCATGACCTAATTGACTGAGGTGCTTCTGTTACTGTTAAAATTTGTGCCATAGGTACTTGAAATGATTATATTCATTGAAAAGAAGGGAGTCATGATTGCCATGTTAATATTCATGCAATTTGAATTGTTCTCAAAATTGAAATAGTGTACCTAATCAATCATGTTATTATAGCAATAGACTAAGACAATAACTAGATTGCTATTTTTGATGGGCCGGGCCGGGCTGGGCTTGGACATATTTGCCAAGAGCGGGCTACGGGCTGGGCCGGGCTCTGAACCCATGGGCCCGGGCCGGGCTGGGCTGGGGATTTTGGGGCCCGTGGCGAACACTGCTGACGATGTCTGATAGACCGGAGACTATGAAACGAAAAAAAAACTCCTGATGATAGCCGATGAGACAATTAAACAACTTCAATAAGCTATTTGATTAAGTAATTAGGGGAGAGTGGGGCAAAGCGGCCACCCTAACGCTTCTCACGATGCCAACGCTTGATTTTTAAACTTGGAAAGATTCTTTCTATACCAATGTGATCCCTATTAAGTTGCCTTTTATTTCAACTGCGTTTTATTTCCAAAGGCGTTCACATATGAAAGATATTGACAAAACTTCAAACCTATGCATATTGGCCACTTTGCCCCATACCCTGGGGCAAAGCGGCCACCGGCGTCTTCTCAAGTCCCGATATGAGAAACAAAATAGTTGCCTCGTGTACGACTGGGGTATTTGATGGTGACAAGGTTAAGCGAGGATGGATGTTTATTTTATCATCTTCCACCTGTAGGTAAACAAAGAAAGGATTTTCATGAAAATAAACATTTAATTGCATTATTTGATAACTCATGCAACTGAAAAGTGGCCAAGATGAATGCATGACGACACATTTGAATATAAATAATGTTTTTTATCCAGATGGAAGCAACTTATGGCCAATTGGGAGGTGGCCACTTTGCCCCGGCCACTTTGCCCCGCGCATACCGTCCGAGACAAAAATATTCCAGCTTAGCTATTAGTGGGGTAAAAAACATTGAAATTGGTAGAATACATGTACGATAACCATGCAATGCATGGACAAGAGCGCTTATAAAAATTCCAAACGGCTATGGAATAACATGACATTTAAAAATTGTAAACATAGTTGGTAACCTGGCAAGAAATGCTTTTCCGTGTTTCACAGAACAATGGTGATGGGCCTGAAACCCCGGTCTGGCTCATTCAAACGACCGTGAAGAGAAGTATAATTGGAAACCATAAATTGGAACTGACGCCAGCTATGAAGGGCTAAAACGATGGGTGGCCGCTTTGCCCCGGGTGGCCGCTTTGCCCCACTCTCCCCTACATCTGACAGCTAACTCGTCTGCACCAAACCAACCAGCCGGTATCAAAGTTCAAACCCATCTACCAACCCTATCTACACACTCCACCTACTCAACAGTAGAGATGTCAGTCGGATACCAACATTTTGGTATACCGATACCAAACCGATACCAACTCGGTATTTGGTATTTCAATCCTAATGTGTTTGGTATTTTGTTGGTATCATGAACCATCGCTAATGTTTAAGAGGCTAAGAAATCGGTAAAAGGTTGGTTTTTTCCTCATGTTCCCAAGTTGGTTTGGTTTCGGTATTTCTCCACGGTTTTGGTTGGTATTTGGTTTGGTATCGGTATTCCGATTTTCCGTAATTGACATCACTACTCAACAGCTCCTCGCACAATCTCGTTCCTCTCCTTCGTTCCAGGAACGGCCAGGAGTGGAGCGACCTGCGCGGCACCGTTCAGCAGGCGTTCCTTCGTGCCAACGCGCTTCAGCCGTTCATGCACCAATTGGAGACGAGCGCTGCCGACCTGGTGGCTGCGCTGAGCACAGACCGGGACGACCAGCGGCGACTGAGGCGGGACTTCATGCAGCACGCCCAGCGCACTACTGTAGATGGTGTGTGCTGGAGGTGTTATAGATGTGAGATGAATCTCAACAATTGTTCAAATATTCAATATTCAAATATTCAAATATTCGCTTTTCACGCAATGAGACATTTGACGTCTTTTCTCTTTTAGTTATATATGTTTGAGTTTCGATACAGTAAATTTGTGGCCCGGTCCCACTCACCAAACGTATCCGTTGAACAGTCATTCAGAAGGTGAGCTGCGGCTCTGCGGCGTTCCGCGACCCCGACGAGCGATCTCTGCTGCTGCACAACATCGGCAACTTCTTCAGTCTGACGGCCGACCTGGAGATGCACATCAACACCTGGCGCTACGTCGCCACGCCGCAGTGGAAGCGGCTGACGCACGCGCTCGACTACTTCAACTTGTGAGTGAGGGCATGGGTGGTGCAGGAACCGTCCACGCTCGATGCAGAAGAGTGAAGCAGAAGATGATGAAGATTAGGCATTGGGGATTGCAGTGAGCAAATGTGACTGACTAAATAAAAAAAAAATGATTTATACATAACTCTAAAATTGCATGCCACCAACGTCAATGTAAGAAGTCTCGTGCCAGATTATGGGTGATATACCTACTATATGTAGTCTAACCATCGCCCCCGTGACATATGTTTACGTTTATTACACAAAACATAAGTTTTCTCCTTTTACAGGATGGCAGACAAGTGGATCACGACGGCACTGAGTCAGGACACCGCTTCTGAGCCGAACATGCTGGCGATGCTGCTGGAGAAGGGGCTGACCCGGCCCCAGCTGAAGGCGCTGGTGGTCGACTTCTTCATCGGAGGCGTGGATACGGTTCGTGACAGGATAAACTGTGGTGCCTGGGCGTCTTTTCTTTCTTGGAAACTTGGAGCTTTTTCATTAGCAGTTTCTTTTCATTGCCATCAAACATATCTATGTATTGGAATGACCTTCATTTATTTGTCTTTCTTTTTTCACCTTCTGAATTGCTGTCTCAGTCATTGATATTCCACGCAACGCACTTTGGCCTCCCACTCACGATTCTGACTGATGTTTTCAGACCAGCATGTCCCTGACGTGTCTCATCTACCACTTGGCCACGAACCCCGAGTGTCAGGAGCGCGCCTATCAGGAGATTCTACAGTCGGCACCCCCTCCTGGAGAACTGATCGCTAAGGAGCACACCGGACGACTTAACTACATGCGCGCCTGCGTCAAAGAAAATCTCCGGTAGGTACGGTTAACTATGAACTCGCTTTTTTGTATAGCGTAGTAGGTAATTTGTTTCATGTTGATGTGGGAATGCTATTGAAATGCCCACGTCCATTTGAATCAAATCTATTTCGATTTGATTCACTATATACGGACAGAGTTGGAGTTCGTGTGACGAGTGTCGCTTACGTTGAAACAAATAGTGCTGCAAGAAATAGTACAATGCAAAAATATGAAAAGAAGGTACGCAATAACCATGAGCTAAATATTGGATGATTGGTTATCGTATTTTCAGGATGAACGCCCCCATCCTCGGCATTGCGCGGAAGCTGGGCAAGGACATCGTGCTCGGAGATCATCGCATTCCAAAAGGCGTGAGTTGCAAATGCGATGAAGGATGCAATATGATGTCAGTTTTACTGTATATGCTTGGAATTTTGATGCAGGATGTTCATTGTTCAGTACGTGCAATGTGCAACCACTACACGCACATGTAGGTGAAGGTTTTAATCTATCATTCACCCTTTCTCCCCCTTGTGGCCGACAGAAGGTAGTGTTCATGGTGAACAGCATGACGTCACGGAGCGGCAGTGAGTTCTGCGAGTCGAGTCGCTTCCTCCCGGAGCGGTGGCTGCGCTGTCCGGCGGCAGAGGGCGCCCCCGCCCCTGCCGCCACTACCAGTGCCCCATCGCCGTTCGCCAGCCTGCCGTTCTCCCACGGGCCTCGAATGTGCATCGGACGGCGGCTCTCTGAACATGAGCTTCTCGTCTTCGCCACCAGGGTACGGCTGGGTTTGGAGCATGACACCGTCGCTGACTGGATGTTTAGTCCTGCCTTCCCTGCACCCACTAGCAATCCTTGGTTCTGGCCAGTAGCGGCGGAACACCTTCAATTAAGGGGGGGGGGGGCACTGCCGACTTTTGGTCCCATTCTTTCCATGCAACGCCCATAGGGCTAATGTTAAAATGCCAAAATCAAAGGGGGGCACGGTGCCCCGGTGCCCTCCCCGTTCCGCCGCCTATGGTTCTGGCTTGGTATCTGAGCTGCAAGCTACATAGTTCATGAGTTTGTGGAACGACACCTGCATCTACGTATCTAATCAGGTCGTATTCCAGTTTCCACTTTCCATGGCTTATGCCAATTCTATCGTACAACGCAGTCGTTATTCACTAGAGCCCTTTTTAGGTATACGTGCATGCTCTTCTGCTCCCCTCACATAACAGTGTTTCCTTATCCTGCTGATTGTACTTCTTCATTTACACCTTGTATTTGCACCTGTCGTCAGATTCTGCAGCGGTTCCGCGTCGAGTACAGCGGCCGACCGCTGCGGCTCAAGATGCAGCTCAACTGTAAACCGGACGCACCCATTCAGTTCACATTTGTGGAGAGAGAAGCGGAGCAGGCCGTCAGACAGCAGGAGAGAGCAGCAGCTACCGCCTGAGGGGAGGAGGACAGAGGAGCTACCAATCAAAGGACTGACTGACGGAGAAGATACCAACCGAAGGACTGACTGACAGAGAAAATACCGCCTGAGGCCTTGATGAATGTTGAAGGAGCGGAGTACAGTTTCAGACTTTGATGGAGGGACCCAAAGGCCCCTGGCGAAGGACACACCCTATGATAATGCAGCGTAAAGGGCTACATCCATTGCTCTCTTGATCAAAGTCGAATATTGAGTTATACATGATTGTAAGCGGACTGCATCGTAGCAGAAGTTGTTTTGTGCTTCAATGAGCCGATCAGTGTGCGTCCATTTGCTTGTATGATGTGTCGCACTTCTTCGCGGAATAAACTAAGATAGCTTCTAACCACACATCGCTACTTTGGACAGATTTGTTTAGTTCAAAATACCCTGCGTCTATCAGAATATTCATCAAAAGATCAGAATAGTTTGATAGAACGTGAATGCGTTTTACTACTTTCGTTTGCCCTAGGGTTGCATGATGCATCCTCGGTGTTCATTCGAAGTGAACCTTCCAATTTTACAAGTTTGTATGCCTGAACTGTATCGTGCTTTAGACAGCAAAAGTGGTAGAACAAATGATGTGCAGGGTACTGCTGGCCCTGCCAATTCTAGTTACCAAGTTTACTATGTGGGAGCATTACATACGAGCAGAACGGTCGCTCTCACTTATTTGCTTCGTGTATTATTTTGAGTGCTACTGCTATTTGCGGTCTGCAAGTCAGTGTGCGTTTGCAGGTAGGCATATTTAGCTACGCTTCTGGTAGGTATGCCACGCTGTTTTAGCTCATTGGTTCTGCTTTGCAGGGTCGCAGTTTTACCAACTCCCCTTCGTCACACGAATGTCTGCCGTCGCGTGCTCGCTTGGGAACGACTCGCAGGCAACTTCTGCCTGATACTATTGTATGTTTAAGACGCTCCGGTCAGCTGGTCTGTTATACCCGAGCTCGAGAGCGCGCGTCCCGTTTGGACCAGTTTTTATACAGCTGAATACATTATTTTATGAATAACAGGACTGCTTCACTACGGAAAACTGTCATAAATCATGGAAAAAGAGTGGTATGCCGCTAAAAATAAAATCGCTTAAAAATCATATGAAGATCAATCCTCACAGAAATTAAGAAGGTCGCTATCGATGAGTCTTAGAGGGTCGTAAATCGCAATTAAAACGCATATTCTATTGCAAATTATAATAAGCACCATACATGACTGATACATTCCCTTCAATACAGCGGCATCGTGTATGCCTTTGTACATTGGAGGCGTCGACACGCTGTCTGCGCGAGGTAAACATAGCTCAAACAATCGCGCGCGCGTACCCGAGGTTATGCGAAAAACACAATATGTGCGCATCGGCATCCTGAACCCAACACAGCTAGGCACCAACCGGCACACGCCACCCTCCCGCAGCTCACTACACCATCACATAGCGCGCCGAGGGTCCGTCTTAGCAGCCCCGCACCCACCCCTCTGACACCGGCCACCGGGCACTCGACGGGCGACGAGATCCAAAGGCCCAGACCAAGCCGCGCCCGGCCCACGCGGCGGATAAGACACAGAGAGGCGGAGACACAGGACAGCAGCTGCCTCTGTCCAGCCCCAGGCTACGTTTAGGGCCCTGTCGGAAGTTGACAGACCGACAGATACAGAGCTGTCATCCCTGAGCCAATCAGGAGGCCACGAGGATCACTGTACACACCAACGAACATTTCGGCGGCACTCATGTGAGCCAATGGGTACGGTCAGAACGCTTGGCAGACGATTTGGGGATGCCGTGGATCTCGACATCAAAAGCTACACAGGCACGATCACAAAATCGGTTGTCAAGTAGACCAATCGAAATTAGAGCACACGCTTAACTTTTGAAGTTATCCGCTTATGGAAAATAAGATTGGCTGTTCAGGATTCGAGTGACTTTTTCAAGGTAAGCGACGTTGACCACTCAATTCACGGAAGACTTTGAAATCATTTCCACTTAGTTGCCATTTGAATAACAAACTTGGAAATGCATACAGAGGCAATTACATCGGTCTAATAAGTCTCATCGCCCTTTCTAAAGCCAGCGTATGTATAAGTTAGCATTATCAGGAGATAAAAAGTGTCTGTCATTGTGGATTGTTACCAAAATAAAACACATCACCAAAGCTGGCCTGCGCATGAGCTTGAATCAACAGATGCGAGCAGGCCAGCTCTCATTTACAACGCTTCATATCGTTGAAACCAAGCACACTTGTCTTCCTTCAAACGCAGCACCCAGATCTTGTCTTCAAAGTAATAAAAAATGTTATTTGTGCACTCAGGAAAAATAGTTACAGGCCCTTTTGTCATGTTGTTTCAAAAAGAGAAAAGAAGAATTAATCTAGGTTTCACAAAGGAAGGGCTCGTCTCAACACTGGGGGCATACCATTCAAGCCTGTTTTGACTGTGTAAATTTAACGCTTCCTTGATATTGCCAGAAAACATCTCATGAGTCCGTGGTCACGTGTTTCGACTTTATCAGAAACAAAGCCGTTTTTGTCTAATACTGCCATCGCCGGATGTTGATAGTGCTCTTAGTCTTAGCATTTGTCTTTTCCTGGTGCTGTTAACTCTCGCAACTTGTCTTCAGTGAAATGCTCCTCTCAGAAATCCACCCCATCCCATTGTCCGCCCTGGGGCTGGCCTCCGGTGGCATCTCTCTCACAAAGCGTGCCCACTGCTCGGAAGGCACCCGGTCGCCCTGCTCAGGGACTAGCCTCAGCATCCATCTCTCGAAGGATGCTCATGAGACTGGTGATGCCGGTCAGGTAGCCGTCCTCGTGGTTTCCCGGCCTCCAGGGAGCGCCGTGACTGATATTGACGCCGGGAGGCAGCGGAGTCGTCTTGGCGAAGTCGATCATCCACACGGAGGCGTGCGACGCGTCGTGCACGAACAGAAGCGATGAGCCGATAAACTGTGAGAGGAAAGAGAGATCGTCAGTGCTGCTAGTCGCAGTTGTGAGAAGGGAAGCGTGGATGTGATGCGTTACAAGAAGAGAGCAGGGTCCCTGGTGTTTTTGGTACCTACCACGGCTGTGGCCGACATGTTAATCACTAGTTGGGATAATCGGCCGCAGTGGTGCGCTTGATGATGCAACGTCATGATAAGAAACGTACCAAAAGGTGGGCAAACTCGCAACAGGTCTCAGCAAGGCCGATTTCAGCTAAACAAAATAAGGAGACATAATGCATCCCCAGAAACAGTTCCAGAAAGACAAGGAGATAAGCTTCTCAATCCGTCTTTCAGCTACACAGCAAAACAGAACAAAAAACATTTCCATGAAACATCTCGAGTTGAAAGACACGCCGCGCGGTGGATGTATTACCTCATGCGTTTTGAAGAAGTGCGACTCACTGAGCGCCGCTCGTATCCGCTCCAGTCTCTCCAGGTACTGACTCTGAAACACAAAGCGCCAGCTCACAGCTGGTGATGCGCTCATCCACACGAGACAAACCCCCAGAGCCGGCCGGTCACGAAACGCTCACCGGAACGGATTAGGCGGTCATAAACGTTCCGGGAAAAGTGATACTGCACTACCTGGTTCATAGCCCGGGCAAGCTAGTCGGAACAATTATGGCACTTTCGTTTGAATATGCGACAAACTTTTTCGTTTTCTTTTTGTTTCTATTTTACAAGCTGTCAGCAAGTAAATATCATGCATTTGATGAGACTGCAAAAAAAAACAAGCGAGCAAACTGATCGTATCGATTCTTAAACCTCGCCCGTAAACGGCGATCTGCCACCTTCGCCAATGCAGGGGGGGGGGGGGGTGGTGCGACCCCCCCCCCCCTTGGCGTTTGAAAACGGAGCGTCGTAGAGATTAGCGGAAAAGACCAACGGATTGCTCTCGCCGAGATCTCGCGATTGGTGGTATATTTTTTGGTCCTAGGTCAACATTTGACCTACTTTTGACCGGCCAAAGGTCAAATTTTCGGAAAAATAGACTGTTTTTCAACTTTCCGCGGCGATTGCGGCAAAACGGTGGGAGATATCGACTTGAAACCTTCACTATCGTGTTCCTTGATCAATTCTCTATCGTTTGGTATGTATTTCGTTTCTCTAGCTCTAAAAATGGCGCGTTGGGAGCGCCGGAAGTCGGCAAGGTCACAGTCGGCGGCAGAAATTTGAAAAATCAAAATTTAAATTTTTGAAATCTGATTGTATTTTTTGGATTTGGGAGGTCCATTTGCTCCCTATAGAAGCTAATATTGCTGCATATTCCCATTGAGGTGACAAGAATTAGCAAAATAGTGGTTCGGGCGCTTTTCAAAAATAGTACCGGACGCTGTTCCTCTTGTGACGTCATATCTCCGTGACCTGACCTGACCCGGTCAAGTTTCTTATACCATATGATAGCCAATACTTGCCCCAACATGCATGGGAAGTTTCATCACGATCCATCAACCGATGTCCGTACCACCGGCAGGAAACCTCGGGCGTTGGCACTCAGTTTGTGAAAATCCGGCCGGAGGCTGTTCCCTTTGTGACGTCATAACTCCGTGACCTGACATGACCCGGTCAATTTTTTTTTATCAAAAGATGCGCAAGGTTTGCCCCATAAGGTACCCAAAATTTGGCGGCGCTGCGCGCCGCCGTTTTTGCACTATTTCCGAAAAGCCTCAGGGGGGGGGGGTTGCACCAACCCCCCCCCTACATGGGCGAGGGTTAATGTATTTAGCACTAAGTTAACCCTCGCATGTGTAGGGGGGGTCGGATGGACCCCCCCCATGGTTTTCGCGAATAACTCGCGTAAAAAGCGGCCGATCGCGACGAAACTTTCAGTACCCTCACATTGATCAATTTTACACCTACCCTGAAAATTTTATGACCCTGACCCAAATGACCTTTGACCTGTGACCTCTTTTCCGAGACCATGTTTGGCCGGAATCGCGATTCTGCGTATGTCGGCTCGCATTAGCCGCGCGTTTGCAAGCTTTTCGTGGTTTCAAACGTTCAAACATGTGATTTGATGTTGCTTCCATGCATTAGGGTGGGTGTCAAGGTCACCTGAAGGTCAGGTCAGGTCATTGACCTTTGGTGACCTCGGGTGACCTCGGTTCACTTTTTCGAGCTGTACATGTTTCTAGGCTAGTTTTTGGAGCTGAATTCGAATTTAGCAACCATTTGAACATTTACGAAGTAGTTTTGGTGCCTTCGTAACATGTTACGAAGCTGTCAGAGGCGGTTGACACGTACTACGAATACCCGTCACGACGCCTACTGGTTGACCTGACCTGACCTGACCCGACCTGGTCTAAATGCCTAAAGACATCATCTGTGATCAAAACTAACACGATATTCGTGATCAGCACCCCGAAAAACCCCTTAGCAGCCACACTTTACGACATTCTAACAGGTCCCGATTTTCCCGACTTTGGGTCATTGACCTGACCTGGAAGGTCAACCAATGACCTAGGACCTTAAAATTGGGTATCATCGGCTTCCTCTCGTCACGGGCAACACGCTCGTTTTTTCCGCGAAGCTCTAGCTCGATCAGGGGCCAAACGGCAAGGGGGGGTCCAACCGACCCCCCCCCCCTACACATTAGAAACTGGCAAACGCCGCACACATGCGAGGGTTAATGAGACACTGAATACTTGGAAGCAAATAGCGGGAGTAAACAATACTCCCAAAATGAACATCTTACATCCCCGACTTACCACGGCGTCGGGGTATCCCTCTGTGAACATGGTGACGGCCTCCTTGACCTGCTGCCGACTCCGCGTCGTCTTGAAGTCCTTGCTGGAGAAGCCCTCGCTCTTGCGGATACCCTCGATGCGGAAGCCGAGGGTGGCAGTGGATGAGATCGTTTCCCTCCACACCATGTATCTGGGAATGCAGACACAATAGCGTCAGTTGAACACACAACTAACAAAGGAAGCGTTCTCCAAGATATATTATGCCTGATGTGGGCACGTTCCCATGGGTTCACCAAATGGGCTCACCTATGAGGTCATTAGAAATAGCGATATCTGAGGCAAATTCTGTTAGCTGATGACAAACTGAGCTTAACCCGCGCCCCGCTGGGGGGGGGGGGCAGAATCTGCCCCCCTCCCGTTGTTCGCCAATAACTTCTAAACGCGTTACGCCAGCGACGTCAATCTTTCAGTACCTTATCATACATCAATTTGACACGTTCCCTGAAAATTTGAGCGAAATCCGTCAGAATTTTTTTGAGAAATTGACGTTTTAGTGACGTCATGTTCGCCATTTTCGCCTAAAAAACGGCAAAATTTCAAACGCCGCTAACATCTTCATTTTTTAAGGAATCAAGACGTAACAAAAAGGTTATACGTGATTCTACTTTGTCTATCAAATGGCTATCTCGGTTTTTTGAAAATTTTGAATTTTGGCCCAATTTTTTTTTTCAAAAAACTGATTTTTTTTTGGAAAATAATTATAAAATCCAAAATTTTGAGTGTATAAGAAAAACCAGAATATATGTCAGAGTAGTGGTCTAGGTGCACCTACATACCAATTTTTAGAAGAATCGGTTCAAAAATGTGGGAGTTATTCAAAATTTTATGACGTCACGAGACACAAAAATTTTGAAAAATGATTTTTTTTTGAAGTTCTAGACCTCGTACGGAAACAAAAATAGCACCATTCGATTTGCCGTGAAAAACTGCATCAGATAGACACCTTTTTAGGCCTTAACAACCAACTTCAAAATTTGACCTCATTTGACCTGACCTTGACCTGACCTCGACCTGAAATTCATCCAGAGGTGGTCCATATCACTTATTGAGTGTGCCTATTGAATTCTATGAGTAAAATGACCCATAAAACATGTGTCGCACATGCCCTTTTCTATATTTTGTTTTTGGTGACCTGACCTGACCTGACCTGACCTTGACCTTGACCTTTGAATGACATTGTATGCAACGGATATTGTCTTGGTAGTCTAAGAACACGTTTTGGGCAATCAGTCTCAGTCCATTCTTCGGCAACTACGGTGCAAGGCCGATACTGTAGAAACTTGCATTTTATACCCTTGACCTGACCTTGACCTGACCTCTGACCTACTTTAGCAAAAAAAATGGGCTCTTAAGATCCGCCTTGTTGAGAGCTTTCGATTGCCGTTTTCCCCGTCTTTCTACGACCATCGGTTCGGAAGTTAGACAGGGGAGGCAGAATCTGCCCCCCCCCCCCAGCAGGGCGCGTATGGCTGAATAGTGAATAGCCCAGCGGGGCGCGGGTAAATCAGCGTCGCAATCCACAGTCAACAGCTTTAATTATGCAAGTTAAGAAATTAACACTGGACAATTGTATTACTTTTGTTAGCGAGCAAATACGTTTCTGTATGTATCTTGACGAAGACGGCCGGCGCGCGGAGCGCGGCGGTCGGCCGGCCGCGCCGCGCCGCGCGCACATGTGTAAATTGTGTCATCCGGCCCCTGTCCTGATTCTCATGCCCACGTGTTGTGCTACCACGAGGGCTGAGACGGGACGGGGGCCCGACAGTCTTCAACGGGACTCCGCCGGTGCGACACGGCCCGGTGCACGACGTGGCCGACGTGGCCCTCCGTACGACACGGCCGACGTGGCCTTACGAGAACGCGATACGATTCAGTGAACTGCGTCTGTGACCGCCGTATTTACCCTTTTTAACCGTTTGCCTGTCAATCAAGAATAGACTTTTACATATATGAACAATAACTTTATGGTCCTCCGGGTGACGAAAAAGAACGAGTACTCGAACGGGTGAACTGAACGACTCTCACGAACATTCTGGTCCTCCGGGCCGGATATCAGTGAACTAGTGTGCGAATGGATTTACAGTGACGACGCGGTAGTGTGAACTGTGAGTGCAATGTCTGACAAACGGTCACGACACGACAGTGATGCAAAATCGCATCAAGGCCGCCGGAGCTCATATCACACGAGGAGTGAGGCGAGCTTCAGTACGGCGTCCTCCGGTCTCAGTGAAGCCCGCCGCCGGGCTGCACTTAGCCAGCTCCAGGCGGAACAGGCCCAGCGCGCCGCCGCCGCCAAGGCTGAGCTGGCCCGGCGTCTGGCCGAGGCGGACGCGGAGCAGGCCCGGCGTCAGGCGGAGGCGCAGGCGGAGCAGTCCCGGCGGCAGGCGGAGCAGGCGGAGGCGCAGGCAGCGCTGCAAGCTCAGGCGGCGAAGGATGAAGCTGAATACCGTCAGCTGGAGCTGGAGCTGCTGGAGCAGGAGGAGCGGGGTTCGCAGCACCCTCGTTCTTCCGCTGCACCATCCGTCGCTGGTCTTCCGGTGGTTGCAACTGAGCCATCGGCACTGGTGGACGTGTCTCGACAGACGGACGAGTCAACCACGCGCACCCGACAGTGGCTGGCTCAATCTCAGCTGCATGTGCCGCCAGTGGATACGGCTCCTGTCGGCACCCTGCCTCCACCTGCGGTGCGGCTGCAGCACCCGTCCCGTGACGACACCAGAGCGGTCCCACATCTGCCGCGCATCACGCTGGAGAAGTTCGGCGGCTCTGCCATCGAGTGGCCGCGGTGGATAGCCCTCTTCAAAGCTCTGGTGCACGACCGCGCCGACCTCACCGACGTAGAACGGCTGACCTACCTGCAGACTCACCTGACGGGGCCGGCGAGAGAGTCTGTGCGGGGTATGCTCTGCGACGCCAGTCTATACAGCACCGCCCTGTGTGAGCTGGAGCGAGAGTTTGGTGACCCGTCCCGTGTGATACACGCCACGATGAAAAGACTACTCACAGCGCGGCCGGTGAAAGATGGCGACCTGTCAGCGCTGACAGAGCTGTCTCGTGAGCTCCACACCGCGGTGAGCGTCCTACAGTGTCTGCACTACGAGCACGACCTCGCTGCCGCCACGAACGTCACCACTGTGACTGGGAAGCTACCAGCCTCCCTCGCCTGGAGGTGGGGCGAGCACATGGTGGAAAACGGCATCACTCGTCCGACGCTCGTCGATCTCGACGAATGGCTACGCCGTCATGTGTCAGCTGGTCGGTTGGCCCTGAACGTGACCACCAAGCAGCCGCCGAAGGTCGAGGCTAACGACGCTGAGTGCCGCCCGCGACGCGTGTTTACCACCACGTCGGCGCGGCCCACGCCGGCGGCTGTAAAGCGGGGGAGGACGGCGGCCATAAAACCATCAGCGGACGGGAACAGCGCCGGCTGTGCCATGTGTCAGCAAACACACGAGCTCCAGCACTGTGACGAATTTCTCGCGCTGACTGTGATTGAGAAGGCAGAGTTCGTCGGCAGAAACGGACTGTGCTTTAACTGCCTAGGTCGTGGTCACATCAGCGCTACGTGTCCCAGTGATGCACGATGTGACGCGGAGCACTGCGGCAGGCGTCATCACACGCTGTTACACAATGGAGGACGAGTGTTTCCGCTGCGCGATTCCGATGATGGTACGCCGTCATCTGCCAAACATGTCGGCACCGCATCGGCCGAGCCTCGCAGTGATATTCTCCTGCAGGTGGTGCCCATCACCGTAAATGGGCCGGCAGGTAGCCGCACCACGAACGCGCTCCTGGATCTCGGGAGTCAGATCACACTGATCACCGACGACCTGTGTGACCGACTCGGCATCTCGGGGCCCACCGACAAATTGGTGCTGAGTACGCTGAGTGGGACCCAAACGACGACGTCACGACGCGTATCCTTCGCCGTTGAGGCTGTGGGCGGCGACGGCAGGGCACACCGTATACGAAACGCCCAAACGACGCCGACGTTAAACGTGTCAGCCAAGGCCATGGACTGCACAGTGGCAAAGGAGAAATGGCCGCACCTGGCCGACCTGGATCTTCCCAGCGCTATCCACGGCCCAGTGGAGGTGCTCCTGGGAACCGACGTCATCGAACTTATTGTGCCGCGGGAAGTGATCGAGGGACCGACGGGAACGCTGTGCGCCGTAAGGACGCTGTTGGGATGGACGGTGACCGGGCGGGCGTCGGAACGCTCGGTGCTCGATGGTGAACACGTTGTCAATCACGTTCGTGTCAGTGATAAAACGAGTGCAGTCGCTGACCTTCACACCCAGGAATCATCAGAGACGACCCAGTGGTGTCACGCAGCCGAGCCGCCGGGCCCGGCCGACATCTTCAGCAGAGGCGGCCCGGGGACGGACCTCGCCCCCGGCGGACCGTGGATACGAGGTCCAGCTGCGCGGTCCGGCCCGGCCGCCCTCTCCGACGACGAGACGAGGGTGACAGCGTGCGTCACCGAGCGAGCGGAGCCGGTCGTAAACGTCAGTGACTTCTCGTCCTGCCTCATGGACTCCGGCGGCCTGCTCAGAGTCGGTGGCCGTCGCTGGAAGCGGAAGAACACGCAGCCGCAGGATCGCTCCTGGCGACGCCGGCGGCGAGAGTGTCTCCCCGCGCACGCCGACCGCACACTGCATGTCGATCATGGACACGACCGAGGTCAGGGTTGGCGAACTAGTGCGACTGACCGACGTAAACGTACCACGTGGACATTGGTCGGTGAGATGAGCGGAGTGTGTGACCCTGGTGTGGGCGGTCTTATTCCCGCCGTTGACGTGACGACTGATACCGGCCAACACAGGCGGCCTGTCTCTCGTCTCTGCCGTCTTGAGTGCGACGGCGACGGACAGTAAATGGACTCGGAGAGATAATGTGCGCGCACGTGGGACGGCTAAAGTGAGTCGTCTACGACCGCACTGTGCCGCCGGCGAGCAGTGTGGAGATCGGAGCGTTTATTAGTGTTTCCAGCGCCCACCATTCGCGGTGCTAACGTGTGTGTGCGTGCGTGTGAGAGTGAGCCGCTCATTCGGTCCGCTGCGAATGGTCATTTGTGTTGAGTGTTCAGCCATTAGCTATCAGCTGTGAGCCGTGTGACGATTCTTGGACGCGCTAGTAGTTTACGACCTTAGAGTGTAACATAGCAGTGTGAGATTAGTTTATGATACGTACCGTGTTAGCGCTGTCGTACGTCCGCGTTTGTTCGCTTCGCCGCTTCGGTAACGTAATGTGTGTCGTGTTGTACATTGTGTGATGGGTGTTTGTTGTGTGTCGGCCATGTGACGGCAATGTCACTGCCGCCAATGCCTCTCGGCCCAGCGTGTGTAGTTTACGACATGCGTCAGTGTGTGACGGCACCCGGCTGCCGAGACCGCGCCGTCACCAGTTTTATGACTGGGTGATTGTTGGCGGGGATAATGCCTGCCTCAGTCAGACATTGTGTAGTGCGTAATGTGCATCGTATGTGAGTGTATGTATATCGCGCATGTTGAACGGATCGTTACGAGTGTGTGCATGCGTACGGGACGCTTGAACGATTGCTCGCTAGTTGTTGGATTTTCCGCGGATGATCGCGAAAAACCGGGCCGGCTATGTTAGCGAGCAAATACGTTTCTGTATGTATCTTGACGAAGACGGCCGGCGCGCGGAGCGCGGCGGTCGGCCGGCCGCGCCGCGCCGCGCGCACATGTGTAAATTGTGTCATCCGGCCCCTGTCCTGATTCTCATGCCCACGTGTTGTGCTACCACGAGGGCTGAGACGGGACGGGGGCCCGACAGTCTTCAACGGGACTCCGCCGGTGCGACACGGCCCGGTGCACGACGTGGCCGACGTGGCCCTCCGTACGACACGGCCGACGTGGCCTTACGAGAACGCGATACGATTCAGTGAACTGCGTCTGTGACCGCCGTATTTACCCTTTTTAACCGTTTGCCTGTCAATCAAGAATAGACTTTTACATATATGAACAATAACTTTATGGTCCTCCGGGTGACGAAAAAGAACGAGTACTCGAACGGGTGAACTGAACGACTCTCACGAACAACTTTCATGGATTCCACTGATAATTACCCAATCCTTAACTTTCGGGGAACACTGATCACCCTAAGCGCACAAAATGCCAAGCATTTACGATTATGTGAAAGAGCATGAAAATCGACGCGCTCTATCGAAGTCGTCACGAACAGGAAAGCACCACACACCTGGGCTTTGTGACTGCTTTCAGTCGATGTTCTTCGTCGGTGGGAGCCGACTTGTCGATCAGCATCATCTTATCGTACATGTCCTGAAAACAAAATGACGGATATGTGAGAACTGAATGGCAGCAGGTAGACACAAATCATGTGGTGAAACCACGGGCAAAAATATCAGATATGGGCATGACACTGTGCACGCTGGATACCCATAAGTGGACAATGCGCATTCGTCCTACATTTTACGTCAAATGCGCCAGTTGACGTAACTAACGGAATAAAACAATGAAACAACTATTGTCAAATGCATGGGAATGACCAAGATTATTACCTATATAACACAAAATGAGTGAAAGATAAGTCAATCACTTAGTTTCTAATCCTTAGGTCGGAGATGTAGAAAGCGAGGCCAGTCTTCGAAGAGCTAAAAGCATAAGACGTACTTTTCTGAGTTTGGGTTTCTCCTTGGCCTTGGCCAGCTCGTCCTCCTGGTAAGTGCGGACTCCGATCTTGCAGTCCATGACACAGGGCTCCTCGAACTCTCCGAGCAGGTCCTGCAGCTGCAGAAAGTCTTCACCGTCCTCCGTGACGATCTGCCGGTCACAGCGGTGTCACGGGATGTTACGATGCATCACGGAATTCGTGGGATGTCACGGTAAGTCACGGGAGGTTAAAAAATGTGAGAATATTGGTAGACGCATTGCAAGTCCTGGGACGGTCAAAGCCTGCACAATTGTCCTTTGAAATAAGTCATTCCTAAACAAAGCATGAATCAAGAAAACGCAATTTGGTTTCACTTCATTAGAACGTGGACGTATGTATATTTAAAAAACGTCTAGGGGTAGTGGAAATCGTCCAATTACCGTAATTTAATCCACCGTTGCACAAAGAACAGCAAGTGCATCAATAGAAGAATGTACGCTTCAATGATAACAGAGTGAGCCATGCTTGTCAGAATCAGAGCCAACTATTATAAACGTTCTCAGGCAGCGTGATATGCAAGCTTTGTTTCATAGAATTCCAGCGCTTACATAACCGGCATGTTTAGCGCGTGCTGTGCTGCTCCCCGCCACCTGTTCACGAATGGTAAACAAACAATATAAACATTCGCCACAAAAGGTGAAACTGGGACTCATAACTGGTCTCGGTGTTTTTGAATAAACACACTCACGTCAAACCATATGTTGCAGTTTAACTGTATTGCGCAGATGGAACGGAATATCAGAATCGAGCCCCAGTTGACGACAGCATTGCATGCCGGTCGAGGTATAGTTCTTTCTCTTTCTCGGACATAGATAACGAGTTTTCGATCACTCCTAAACGGAGCATGCATCGTCCTAAAAAGCGATTGTGTGCCTATTTCTGCCAGAAAGAAAGCCACATCAAAAGGCAAACTAGGGGAGAGTGGGGCAAAGCGGCCACCCGGGGCAAAGCGGCCACCCTTCGTTTTAGCCCTTCATAGCTGGCGTCAGTTCCAATTTATGGTTTCCAATTATACTTCTCTTCACGGTCGTTCGAATGAGCCAGACCGGGGTTTCAGCCCATCACCATTGTTCTGTGAAACACGGAAAAGCATTTCTTGCCAGGTTACCAACTATGTTTACGATTTTTAAATGTTATGTTATTCCATAACCGTTTGGATTTTTTGTAAGCGTTCTTGTCCATGCATTGCATGGTTATCGTACATGTATTGTACCAATTTTTATGTTTTTTACCCCACTAATAGCTAATCTTGAATATTTTTGTCTCGGACGGTATGCGCGGGGCAAAGTGGCCGGGGCAAAGTGGCCACCCCCCAATTGGCCATAAGTTGCTTCCATCTGGATAAAAAACATCATTTATATTCAAATGTGTCGTCATGCATTCATCATGGCCACTTTTCAGTTGCGTGAGTTACCAAATAATCAATTAATTGTTTATTTTCATGAAAATCTTTTCTTTGTTTACCTACAGGTGGAAGATGATAAAGTTAACATCCATCCTCGTATAACCTTGTCACCATCAAATACCCTAGTCGTACACGAGGCAACTATTTTGTTTCTCATATCGGGACTTGAGAAGACGCCGGTGGCCGCTTTGCCCCAGGGTGTGGGGCAAAGTGGCCAATATGCATAGATTTAAAGTTTTGTCAATATCTTTCATATGTGAACGCCTTTGGAAATAAAACGCAGTTGAAATAAAAGGCAACTTAATAGGGATCACATTGGTATAGAAAGAATCTTTCGAAGTTTAAAAATCAAGCGTTGGCATCGTGAGAAGCGTTAGGGTGGCCGCTTTGCCCCACTCTCCCCTATATGAATTTACGTCACGCGGCTTATAGGTAGGTAGGTATTGTCTGTCGCTCGCGCCAAATAAAATTCGAGCTTGTCACCAGATATAGGACGTCAACGAGCGTCATACAAGCTTTCAAGGCGGACTGAGAATAAAAATGGTCGGGCTGCAAAATGATCACGGTAACGACTATCAGGCATACCATTAATGTCAATATTTTATCTGTCGACGCTCTTTTTGGCAAACTACAGGAATTCTCTTCTTTCCAGCGGGGCTGCGACCATAACTCCTTTTAACATTTTTTTACAGAGAATCACTGCGAGAAAGACATTAGCTGCCGCTGGAAAACATGTATATGTTTAATATTTGTATCTTCTAAGAATTGCTTGCAACACTGACGAGCAGTCTTGAGCAAAATAAACAATTCAATATTTCCTACTAAATGTAAGATGTAAGATGAATAAAAAACAGTGCTTAACTTATTTCTCAAATGCATGGCACTTAGCGGCTTGGCTCTGTAGGGTTAGTCCTGAAGTGTCGTTAATTTAATTGTTTACGCATTTATATGCACCATCTGTCGTTATTGCGACACGAATTTTAGGTTGATTGATCAACGGTGCCGTTCAATTTGTACCTCTCTTATTATTCGCCTTGATGTTGAGTCTTTCTCGATAAACACCGCTTACATGCATTATACTATCACCGATATAAGAGGTATGTAGCTCCAACACTCGCTCAAATTTACATTCTTCGACCGTTTTATCCCGACAAGAATTCCTCGTCAAGCAGGCGTCCTGCCTGTCTAACAGCACACCCAGTCACAGGATTTGGCCGCCGCGAGCGACAAGCGGCTGCCGCGACCAGGCGAGCGCCCGCTCAGGGGGCCGTTCATCATTCTTTGCACAGCTTGCAATTGACACCGTGCTGCGCCAGTGATTGGCTCGGCGGGTTTGGCTCAGATTAGCGGGTACGCTGCCGATAAACAGTCGCTAATCTGACCTGTGACGCTGATGGCTCACGCTACAACGGGGAGTGGTGCACGGGCCGCCGCGCCGCCGCGTGCGGCGAGCCCTCGGGCACCGCTGCTCTCACTGATTGCAACAGATGAAGGGGGTGTGCGGCGTGCACTGTGCAGTGTATGATGGCAGGTGCGGAGAGACGAAACTTGGCCTTCTGGTGTAGGAAACAAGTGCCGATATGAGCACGCTATTGCATTGGCTACGTCTGTTTCAAATTCTGCATCATAGTGGAAATCGGGTGTAACTTTATTGCAATTAATTATCATTGATATTTTGTTCACGCTGCAGACTTGTGACAGCTCAAGAAAAAAGTGAGCTCGTTCAGCTCAACTCCGTCTTATCCGCTCCCGCTCAGCTCCCGCTCAGTTTAACGCGGCTCAGCTCAGCTCACGTTCCGCTCAAACCGGCAACGCTCCGCTCACGCTCAGCTCAGCTCAGCTCAGTTTCCGCTCAGCTCAGCTCAGCTCAGTTTCCGCTCAGCTCAGTTCAGTTTCCCGCTCAGCTCAGTTTCCGCTCAGCTCAGCTCAGCTCAGCTGAGTTTCCGCTCAGCTTAACTCAGTTCCCGTTCAGCTCAGCTCAGTTTCCGCTCAATTCAGCTCAGCTCAGTTTCCGCTCAGTTAAATTCACGCTCAGATCGTTCAGTCGTTCTTTTTAACCCTCGCCCTGGCAGGGGGGTTGATGCAGCCCTCCCTAAGGGTTTTTCGAAGATAGCGTAAAAACGGCAAATTTGGCACAGCCTATGGGGCAACCTTTTTACATATGACCTTGAAATTTCAGGTCCGGGTGACCTTGGGTCAGGTCACCAGGTCAGAAAAACCGGTACAAGGTCATGGTCAAATTTCCATTTTCTTTTTGCACCTGTCCAACTCACAGTTTTTGAATGATTTCCTTCAAACTTTCAGGATGTGCTAAGTTCATCTAGTTATATAACATATAGTTCGGGTTGTTTAAAGTCACTGACCTGAGGTCAGCTAGAGGTCATTACGTCGTAATGTTAAGCCTATGGGAAAATACTAAATTCGGAAAATACTGGAGATATCCGCTTCGTTCTATCACTTTTGTGCTTTGAAACCACAGTACTTAACAGCAGGTCACTTAGTGCTTCTTTATTTGGTGTACTTATCCATGGGTCAGGTCAAATGAGGTCAACTGAGGTCAAATGACGTTTTTGCCAATAACTTGGCACATAACGAAGCTAGAGCTTAAAAATGGCATCATTGTGTTCCTGGTGATTAGCCGAATCGAATGATATGCGATATGATGCAATTTGGTTAACTTGAACTTAATTAAGTAATTAAGGTTTACTTAAAAATTAAGAAAAACTTTAAGTACACTGAAGCAAGCAAAAAAGTATATCATTCGACGCGCCCTGACGTGCTGAGTTCACTGGTGCTTTTCTTTTTTTTTATCTTAATTAGATCAAAAGTTATAAGCGAAAAACGTTTGACCTGTTTTTAGCGACATTTTTACATTTATACCCCCAAAACCCCCCTAAATATTGACCTAGAGCAACCAAATTTGCACAGGGGCGAGAACTGCAGAGGGCCCACTTACCTACCAAATTTGATGTTTCTAGGTGCCATAGGAGTGAATCGCGAGGGGGGTCGCATCAACCCCCCACCCCTCCTGCCAGGCCGTGCTATGAAAAATGCCAGTGCCTGGGGTGGGGCAATGCCCCACCCCACTTTCAGTAGGATATGGTTGCTTAGCCCACATTCAACCAACGAAGAGGAACTTTATTTGCTAATTCCTAATTGTAAATATTTTATGCAGAGGTAAGAACCCTTATTGATAAAATTAATTTAAATAACTGCTTAAATAACAAAGTGAAGAATGCTGAATTGTAGGTACATTGCGGAGCAGAGTGTCAAGGCGAAGCATCAAAGCCTGACAGTAGGTATTCATCTTGCAGTCAGACTTGAAACTTGAGACTGGCTGTATTAGCCTGTAAATTGGCCAAGGCCCTGGTCTTCCAATTTCCATGCAATATGGATGAAAGAAATTAAGCTTGATTAGTGATTACTATTGATTTCTTTAGAGTTTTGATATTTTTAAGTGCGATCACGAAGGCAGTGTAATTGCTCACCCCATAGCTAGCTCATAGCTGAAGCATCAAAGCCTGAGTTAATTTCCAAGCATGAACTGAAAAGAATTAGAACTGGATCAGCTCAGCTCAATCAGCTCAGCTCAGCTCGCTCAGCTCAGCTCAGCTCAGCTCAATCAGCTCAGCTCAATCAGCTCAGCTCAGCTCAATCAGCTCAGCTCAGCTCAGCTCAGCTCAATCAGCTCAGCTCAGCTCAGCTCAAGCTCGTTCAGCTCAGCTCAGCTCAAGCTCATTCAGCTCAGCTCAGACAGCAGCTCAGCTCAATGCATTACTGAGCCGGCTCAGCTCACAGCTCAACAATTTGGCAAAATGTTGAGCCGGCTCATGAGCTGAGCTGATTTTTGAGCCGGCTCAACTGAGCTGATCACAAGTCTGTCACGCTGCCACCAAAGTTTCTTTATCCTATACCAATCTACTGTTTGCCACGTTTTAAAATTTATCCTATACTAAAACAATACAAATGCCAACACATTTTCCAAACGTCCAACATAGCAATTGATTAGCAAAATGCCGTCAACAGTGAGTTCTTAAAAACTTTGTTATCTCTCCAATAATCTGGATACATACCTGTCCCCTGTACTCGGGTACGTATGGCCTGAGCGGGTCCAGCATGAGCTGCTTGAGGCACTCCTGTTCTCGACCACAGAGCCGCTTCTGGATGGTGCCCTCGTCTCCAGCTCGGAAATTGCCTGGGGAACAGAGAAGAGTCATTGGGTGTTGCATTAGGGCAAGAAGTTGAGTCGGTCATTTGTTACAATGGAATGATAGCACGTGTCAAAGACAATGGTGGTTGAAGACAGGCGGTGAGAGAAATGCTCATTCGCTTGGTATTGTTACCAAAAGCTTTGTCTAGACACCAGTCTCGAGGTCTGATGACGTTTGTTTTGTTCTGTAAACATTTCAGTGGCGATTGTTTATCTCATCAGCATCTATAAATGTGCCCAGATAACACCAGAGTGACAAATGAGTTGCTTTAAGGATTGACAGACGGAAAAAAGGCTGACCAAGCACATAATGTCTCTAAAAAAGTGGCGATGGATGCCTGAGAACAACAATCTTTTTCGCCCGTTCTCATCCAAAACGAATCACTCTGCAATTTGACACTTGTACCTTTGGTGATTCGCTATTTTTTATTTATTTGAATACCTATAAAAAACAGCATGCATGGACAATAACATAGGTGGTCTGCAGTATACGAATACTGCATGGGGGAGCGGGCAATAGCAAAAAATATTGCCCGATGTGACGTCACTGTCGCCCGAGGGTGAAGACCGAAACAAGTGCTATTGCCCGAGGCGAAGCCGAGGGCAATAGCACTTGTGGAGGTTGTTACTTTGTTGTTAAGTGCCAATAGCACTTGTGGACCTCCACAAGTGCTATTGCCCTCGGCTTCGCCTCGGGCAATAGCACTTGTTTCGGTCTTCACCCTCGGGCGACAGTGACGTTACAGAGGGCAATATTTTTGCTATTGCCCGCTCCCCCATGCAGTATTCGTTTTATTACATGGCCAACTCTCGGAATCTTTACTTAGTACCTACTCATTCATCCCGTAATAAAAAATATCCAAACACAAATATCATGGTACAATTGAATGTATTAGATATACAATCATAGCCACGTCACATGTCTACGGCACACACTTAGTTGTTTTCTGTTTTCTGTTTCTGTTTTCTGTTTCACGCCGTACTTGAGAGTGTGGAGACTCTTCGATTTGTAGCGTTCGCCGTCCTTGCGTTTTACAGTAATGAAGAACTCCTTCACAGCGTTGTCCAGGACATCGTTGCTGTGCATGCAGCTTTCAACAGATATGCCTTTTACTTGCAAGAACTCAATGAAGACGTCTTCTGCTGATTTAATCACCTTTTTAGTGCCCTGAGCACTGCGCGATGAAAATAGCTCATCCAATTCATGCGGCTCCAACAAATTAAATCGGGGCATTTGAACGGACATGTTCAAATGACGGCCCAGTTCTAGATGACTTGACTAGCCAATCACGAAATCAAACTGAACAGTCTGAGAAAACGACGAAAAAATTACGACATTTGAATTTTTGTTCAAACACCACTGCGCGAGCAACTTACTATTGACCGTTGACATGGCAACCGCTTCTCACCTTCAGAAAGGTCAGTAACCTGACACTGAAAGGTCAGTAACCTGATGCCGGGCAATAGTAAAAAATATCTCATGCCAAATTAACACAGGAGCCATGTAATAATTACGTCTGCTATATCATCATGCTCATTGTCTGACATTTTCTTATATGAAGCCTGGAACGCAGTAAGCAGTTTACCATTTGTCACGAAACGACTTGCGGACTGGAGTAAAAAGGGAACATCACGCCCCTGAGCTCTCTACGCACACGTAGGCACATAAAATCACAAAGCTGGCATAGCTGTTTGGCATTTGGGTAACATCTTCCGCATTCCGCGCAAGACATGCGCATTGCGCAGTGCGCACTAAGCCGTGTATTACGATTTAAACCCGATCGGATTAGCACGATGTTTGCGTAAAGCGAGCTAAGCACCAGTACCATATGATGGGATTTAGAGTCGCACACTGTTTATCACAGTATTCTGGGTGGCAGCACTTTCATCATGGACAATCCCATCTGTTCAAGAAACTGACACCATACGAGTAGCCCACATCAAAGCGGAAACATCTTAGCGCTGTGACATAATTTGCAAACAAAAATCAAATTCACTTTGTTGTTAAGTGCAAGCCTCCGCCACGCTTCAATTGCAAAGTTCAGCCATATAGGAACGACAGTAGAGTTGAAGCCGGGACTTTGCTCTTGAAAATTGTTTATAAGAAACACAGCTCGCTCAATTTGATTTGGTAGCTAATACTTGCTACATTACTCACATCGGTGTTAGTGCTTCGCTATGCAGCATATATGAGCTTTATTCAGGGCACTTTTGAATTAGGGGTTACTGACAACAAAGGTTAAAGCACATACATAAACTGTGCTATAGTACCCATCATAGACCTCTGTATACACAAGTCTATGTACGTATTCAAAATTTGCGTTTATTATTTTTTTTTGTAAAAACTCGAAAAAGATCAATTTCTTGGAAAAAATGTTGACAAAAATAAACTCATTTTAACGTTTTAGGTGTAAACACAACACCCTCCCGGTGTCTCGACTGGGTCCGCCATTGTTCCACGGCATTCTCCGACTATCTCCCATCCGCAGGCCGACACAAAAGTCGGACTTCCCCGGCCAGCCATCGCTCGCTACTGCCGCACTGCCAACAAGCCGGGTAGCGCATGCAACACCGCTGCACGTGTTTTCCTGCAGTCGGCCGTCAGAAAAGCGTCTCGATTTTCCCCGTCTGGGCTGTGACGTGGCATCATACGCTGAGTGACGGCCCGACGAAAATATTTACCAGACCTCGTCCGGCTGGGCTCGGGGGCAGGGCGAGGGTGGGGCGGAGCGAGCGAGTCACCGGCGCGGCGGTCGATTTCGAGCCGACTTCATCGGACTGGTATTTGAGCAATCACCCGGAGTCGGCCGGGGTCAGGGCCAGCTTGGAGGTCAGCTCGATCCACCGGGGCCAGAGCACACACACAGAGGGAAACTAGACAAACTTGATTGGATCAACGATTGGGTGCTACTTATCACTTGTTCAGCTATGCTCATATGAATTAGTAGTCCCAGTTTACGGACAACAATGAGACGACGGAATTATATTTTGGTCCAATTTGTTTTCAAATATGAAGAAAATCGAAAACAACTTTGGAATGGCAAGTTGCAGAGATTTGTAAAAAAAAAACTGCAAAGGTAGGAGTGTTGTGTACGCCTCCAGGCTCCAAGAGTTGCTGATATGATGGCAACTGTGCAGCACTGCAGTGCAACCAGTTCGGTCACACGAAGAGTGGTCGGTTTCATTAGTCATTAAACTTGCCTCTTTCAGGAAAAACATAATCTAGATATCTGCTAAGATTAGAAAATACTTGCAGATCCAGCTGGGGAGTGATTAAGCGGGATCCTTATAGATGTCTATATTAAAAGACTAAAAGTTGTGTGAAATAATTAAGGAGCATATCCCTCGCCCTGGCAGGGGGGGGGGTCGATGCGCCCCCCCCCCTAAGGGTTTTCGAAGATAGCGTAAAAACGGCGGCGCGCAGCGCCGCCAAATTTGGCACAGCCTATGGGGCAACCTTTTTACATATGACCTGAAAATTTCAGGTCCGGATGACCTTGGGTCAGGTCACCAGGTCAGAAAAACCGGTACAAGGTCATGGCCAAATTTCAATTTTCTTTTTGCACCTGTCCAGCTCACAGTTTTGGACTGATTTCCTTCAAACTTTCAGGGTGTGCTAAGTTCACCGAGTTGTATAACATATAGTTCGAGTTTTTTGAGGTCACTGACCTGAGGTCAGTTAGAGGTCATTACGTCGTAATGTTAAGCCTATGGGAAAATACTAAATTCGGAAAATACTGGAGATATCCGCTTCGTTCTATCACTTTTGTGCTTTAAAACCACAGTACTTAACAGCAGGTCACCTGATGCTTCTTTGTTTGGTGTACTTATCCATGGGTCAGGTCAAATGAGGTCAACTGAGGTCAAATGACGTTTTTGCCAATAACTTGGCACATAATGACGCTAGAGCTTAACAAATGGTGTCATTGTGTTCCTGGTGATCAGCCGAATCGAATGATATGCGATATGATGCAATTTGGTTAACTTGAACTTAATTGATTAATTAAAGTTTACTTAAAAATTAAGAAAAACTTTAAGTACACTTAAGCAAGCTAAAAAGTGTATCATTCGACGAGCCTTGACGTGCTGAGTTCACTAGTGCTTTTCTTTTTGCTCTATCTTAATTAGATCAAAAGTTATAAGCGAAAACTTTTGACCTCTTTTTAGCGAAATTTTTACATTTATACCCCCCAAAACCCCCCTAAATATTGACCTAGAGCAACCAAATTTGCACAGGGGCGAGAACTCCGGGGGGCCCACCTACCTACCAAATTTGGTGTTTCTAGGTGCCATAGGAGCCAATCGCGAGGGGGGGGTCGCATCGACCCCCCCCTTCCAGGCGGTGTTATGAAAAATGCCCTGCCAGGGCGAGGGATATGAAGTAAAATAAAAACAGCAAGAAATTAAACAAGTGGTACAAAGGTGCAGGTAAAAAAATGAACGACTGTCACGACTCCCGCTGCTCCCTGAAACCATCTGACTGGGTCCGCCTCTGCCACCGATACACAATCAGCTGCAACTCCATCATACTAATCAGAGCGGCACTGCATACATAGTGTCAGCACCTGCATGATACCAGGATATCATTGCACCCCCTGCCCCGAGCACCCCTCGCCTACCCCCAACCCTCTGCGGTCTGCCACTCAGGTACAGCTTCTCCAATTTGTTCCAACATGAACCCATCATATGGCCGCAACATCCCTTCATATAGTCCTTCCCTTTCCCTGCACAAGCTCACATCTCGCCTGAAATGCTACTCGACGTTCCCGGCGCACCTTTTTCGGACGGCGCGGGGGCGAAACATGGCGCCTCTGCGACGATGGAATCATGGATTAGCAGACGCCATCTATTGCACGGTGTCACAGCTGACGTGTATCAGATGATATCGACTTCTAGTCAGACGGGGAGCCATTAACCTGGCCGGGCTGGTGGGAGGACGCCTGATTAGGGAGAGACGGATATGGAAACGAGTGGCAGTAGGAGAGAGATTGGTACACATACTTATAGAGAAGAGGATTGGAGCGACCAAGAGGACTATAGGGAGACATCTGATTATGATATACAGGGTGATTCATAGCCATGTGACCTATTTAGTTGATCTCTCTTGAGAAGGGGATTGCATATTTCCGCGTGAAATTTCACGTGCTAGTAGAAAATTTTATGAAGTTTTGTTCTATCTTGTTCTGGTCTGTGTGTATCGCTCAAGATGTCCACAGCGCAGCAAAAAGTAAAAATGTGTAATTTGTATAGGTTAACGCAGTCCGTCAAGCAAACACAAAGATGTTTCTGCACGTCTGAGGGCTTTCACCCAAGGGAAACTCCAAAGAAGATAACAATTCATAGAATCGTTAATCAATTCAAAGCAGAGGGCACGGTTCAATGATAAACACGGCACAAAAAATGGTAAGCAAACCCTGGAAAGTTGATTTCAAAGAGCGCTGAGGTCAGGTGGGCGCCACACTCGCCGGAGCTCAACGTCGTGGAATTCTTCCTCTGGGGCTATGCAAAGTCCGAGGTCTATGAGGAGAGTCCCCAGGATATTCTGGGGCTGAAGGATGCCATTGGAAGCTGCTTTGGTTCCATTTCCTTAGGAATGTGGTGCGTCCGCGCCATCGCCAACTTTAGGCTCTGGTGCTGGAGTGCATCCGTCGTCGAGGTGGTCATTTTGAGTATCTTGTCTAAAAGAAGTGTGAGAGTCAAAGGGAAAGTGTATGTGACTGATGCTATACATGGATCAAAACTTCAGATTTTGCTGTTTAATATGGTACTTGGCAATGGCATGTAACACGAATGCATGTCCTGTAGTTTTCATTTATTTTCGGTCACACGGCTATGGATCACCCTGTAGTTAATTAGCTATGGATTTGCTATTTTTTTAAGGAAAGCATTAACGGAAACATCACAAATACGATCGGACATTTTCAGCATATTTGGCGCCAACTGCGCATTTTCGACCCATATACCTAACGGTTGTCGCCACTAAAAGAGCTAAACATCGTCGTGTCACAGCAGGATGGTGTTGCGGATAAGGCACGAATAAACAGTTACTTGGGCTCAATTGACGTCAGTCAACGTTCCCCCACTACGGTGGAAAGAAGAACTATCTACGTCAGAAGTACAAGACGAGATAATTGGGTGACGTCAGATGTCATTACCAATTACCATAAGCAGTACACTCCGTCAGACTTAATGATACAGCGGAAACCGCTTGTTAAATCAATAGTATGAGGTACCACATGATTGTTATTGGAAGCTTATTATTTGAAAGGTAAAAGTGCGGAGGAAGTAGAGAAATGATATTTTGCAAAAAAGGCTATTTATGAAACATTGAAAAAATATTATAACTATCTAATGTTCTTTCCTATTCTTGCGATTACCCCCGCGTGATTATCAAGGTCACATCGAACGAGATATAGGCAGGAGCTCGCAGCCACAACTCACAGCCAGTGAGCTTGTGGTCTTATTGGTGGCAGATGACTACCGGGAGAAAGGTTAAAACCCGTGAAATGGAGGACATTGGACATCCCCACAGCCCCTATACATCGCGAATGTTATCTTTTATGTGGATATAAGCGAACAACGCGCCTAAATCTGCTCAAGCTTGGCACGATGACTCATATGTGTAGAGACGCCGGAGACATCTAACTCCTTCACAAGTCATCCTAGGGCTTGATAACTGTCATCTCGCCGGCACCGCTTCTTTGATAACACCGTGACGCTAAAGCGGGGCTGAAAAATGCTAAATGACTCAGAGGTAGATGGGATCAGACGGCCCGCCGAGGCAGCCGGCAGAACTACCTCCAATCTGCACCGGAGGTCGACCACACCCCGTCACGACACCGCCAGCTGCGTGCTCCGCTCACGGGTTTTACTGCCACTGTTCGTGAGCAGAGAGCACTGCGCAGTCCGTGATCGTAAACCTTGAGCACACACGCGCCACTGAGCGCCGGCCATCCGGAGGAATCCTGCCGTGGCCGCACGCACGGCCGTGCATGCGCCCCGGATCGTCATACATTCAATCACGGATAACCAGAGAGATGATGCAATACCATACCTATGCTTACAAGAAGGGATATCGTGCAGTAGCTAATTTTGGCTCTACGGCTCACATAAAATAGAGCTCGCAATGGAGGCTGTCTGAAATATTGGCCGATAGCATCTTTCACTAATTACACCCGTCTTGTCTGTGCAGCTATACAATACACTCATTAGCCTGGTGAATTGATCACGTCTCGATATCTTATTGACGTCATACCTTGGTGTCCAGCCAGCTGAACCCAGAGGTACTTCTGTTTCTTGTAGGTTTGTACGAACGGAGTCCACTGCACCACGCCTTTCACCTTTCGCCATTGTGACGGCTGAAATGAAACAAAGGGAATGTTAGATTCGTATCTCAAAATGATAACCGGAGTTTTCCACAGCCCTTTCGTTAATGATTGGCAAATAGTATTATGTCTAATGCCTACATTTAGCAATCTGCCAATTTTACAGTATGTGGAATGATAAATGTCTTATAATTACTTCCATGCCGTCCATTTATGAAAATGAATGGCTTAAAGGCCTATATGATAAGCATATTTGCATATGACAAGAACACGCATGTTGCGCTGAATTTTACATTATGTATTCTAAAGTAAACTCGTATATGTGCTTAATTAAGGAATTCAATTTAAATAGGTAATCCTCCTCGTCTGCAAACACATATATAGGCTTTCAGTGATGACTGCCGAATATTATCCAAGATATCCAGTTCAAACAATGACATCCTTTATAGGAAACCACACAATAATTGTCGGCACCCTTTATAGTTGGGTTAAGTCATTTGGGTTCATTTGTCAGCATCCCGTGCCACTAAAACTCCCCATTCAGCCATGAACGACTGCATTGTCACTCTATCACACAACACTCCCTCCTCTTCAACAATCGCTCACTCACCCACTCCCGTTCTCCCTATCTCTCCCCAGCTCCCTCCACATCCGCCTATACCACTGCCCCCCCCCCCCCCCCTCTCCCAGCTGAGTCAGCCCGTTCCCCAGCGCGGCGGCGCGGCGACACCATTTGAGCTGCTGCTGACGTCATGGCCCGCTGCCGTGTGTGCCGAGTACACAGGTCTCTGACGTCAGAGGATCGGTGCAGCTGGTCCAAAGGACGGCCGGCCGCCGCCACCGGCAGCGACCGGCGAGTGCCCGCGGCCCGGGAGCCGATAGCATCTGACAGTGACGGTGACGATGTGACGGTGTGGCGGTGACGTTGCTGACTGTATGACGGTGACGGTTACGGTATGACGGTTACTGCATGACGGTGACGTTGACGGTATGACGGTTACTATATGACGGTGACGATGTGACGGAGTCGGAACGACGGCGTGATGGTGGCGTTGACGGTTGAACAATCGGATACGTGGCAAAGTTCCTCACAATAACGAAGCTAATGCTATGAAAACGAAGATAATGCTTTGATTGACACCTCTTTGGGATACTCAACGTCCGCTTACATATGTTTTCATAGCCATTGGCACCAAGTGTCACAGCCATTTACTGTGGAAAAGAAGCGTGTCGCGTGGCATTGTCACTGCATGAGGCTCACAAGGTACATACCTCAAACCACCAACTTGTTTAAATTTATGGCCAGCTCTAGCGGTCACACTCGTCGTTTTGAAAGACCACAAACATGTTCGGTTCGGACTGACGATGCCATTTTCTCGTCACGAGTCTCACATGCGGTTGGAGCCGGGCGTCACTTGACCCGTCCAAATGTCACCGCGGTCGGCCGGCGGCATCCTGTGCGTCACGGTTCGACGTCACCGTGATTTACGTCAGTGGTGGAGGACGTCATATCCGTCAGCTCGTCTGTCCACGTCACAATGGGCGCGTGCAATGTCCGCAAATGAGTCTCTGTGCAGGCGTCTTCGACATAAGAGGATGAGTTCGCTCTTATTTATGGTATTTTATTTTGCTTAGAATGATAGCCATACTAGTACTAGGTGTTTGACGATGAAGTAAATCCTCATCTAATGCTATCAGCAATAATCCCCGAAGCCATTCTGTTTATCAGCCATGACCTGCATCCCGTTCACAATGGTATCAATTGAAAGGCATTATACATTTCCATCAAATCAGTGCCACTTTTCATATATGTGTATAGCGATTTGGGACGGCAAAAAGGTTGGCATCACTGAGCATCTTCGGCTGTTTGGCTCTGGCTTGCCATATTTTATAGATCTACATAGGCTAGTGTATATCTTTCGAAATGGTTAAACCATGTTTACCAGCACAATATTTACGGAGTAAATACTGCATTAGGATGCCACCTACTACACATAATGTATGCTAAGTTGATTCAACTATACCTCGGGTGTTCCTTAATGATGTGGTGTTTGGTCGATTGGTATGCCCCGCAGAATCAAATTTAGATATGGATCTGCAATCGTTCCTGTCAGGTTTGATGAATGTTTGCAGACCTGCCGAGACTGCGCCGAATTCAGTCCAGCGACCAGCAGGTAAGAACCATTTAAATGCATCACAGGTTCCCAGCTTGTGCTTAAAATATCGTGAGCGAGCATGGCATCATGCAATACCTAACTTACACTTGACTTGTTGTCAAATACAAGCTCATCAATCGTAAAAATCTGTAAATTCAAATTATTCCCTCACCCTCCCATATTGGCGTGAAGATAAAATAGTGCATGCATAGCATGACCCCGTTCATCTTTTTAGCTATGTATTCTCATCTTTTATACAGTTGTGCTCTCATTTGCAGCTACGCCAGCATTATCACCCTGAACACGGATTATATTGCACGCTGTGCTATTTATTGCAGAACGGTGAGCGCCCTCCGGCATACGACTCGCCCCCGAAACGATAACCTACAGCGGACACCACCCACTTCCAGTCCGAGAGTCGAATCCTGAATCCACAATCACCTGTTTAACCGCTAAATTGATTTATCGGGGATTGGTTCATCAAATAATAAGCCATTTCTCATTCATCATTCGCCACGCTTAGAGATAAGCGTCTAAAGTGAAGTGTTCTGGAGCGCGATCATCGGTATAATGTCTGCCGGTAGAACTATGACGCATTTAATGTCTCGAATGCGGATGCATGCGATAGAATCAGACGATTTACAATTAGGTTCCACCTTGATTAGGTTATCCAATCCCCAATTCATCCTCAATCGGCTACCGCGGTTGGGGTGAAGTGAATATTGATAGATGATTCAGCTATTTAATGCTTATTTTGTTGTCCTCCCAATACTCAAACCCCGTTTACAACGTAAAATAAAAACAGCGTTTATTCTTTATTGCAGTTTCGCAATCCTGCCTGAAACAAAATGTCTTATGCATGCCTATATGTTTTTTTTTTTTGAAAAGTTATCCTCCATTTAGCATGCTATATCCTCCGCGCTCAGTTACCGCACCCGGCCCCTGCCATCGGAATGACGACCATGCAGCAAATGAAACTCGGTCTATCGATTCCTATCATCGATAAGTCGATTCGTTTTGAGCCAGCGTCTCCATGCGCAAGTAGCCAGCCGGAATGTATGCCCGCTCATGTTCAGTTTATCGCACGTGCATCTGCACCGTGCACTGCAGTATGTATAGCCGAGAGCAGTATATTGACAGCGCTGCTCGGGGCATATAAGCAGCCCGTTGAGGTCTTACAACTACTGATTTTCTCCAGACTAGCGATGACCCCTGTATTGAGTGGATAGATCCGATGTATGCACCCCGTCGCTGGTTGGTCTCGGGTCGTTCACAAACCATTGACATAAATGTTTCGTGAAGGGATAGAAGCATGTGCGACTTTTTGATAACGATATGAACTTAGTATGCATTGTATATGTATGCTGCCGGTCAGAAAGAAAGTAGCTTCGTAAGACTGTAGTTCAGAACCGATCACAATGTTACCATCTGGAGCAGTCTGGTTTGTTATATAACTGTGGGGCCTTCCGAGATCTACGTGGTGGCATGGGATCCTGCATGACGTTTCGCGCTTGGCACGCCAGATGAGCCTGTTATGCATACAATAAGAGCGTTTGAATCTAGTGCTGAAAACATTCTAACTTTCCCAAATAATTTCAAATGCCTCGACTTCAGCCTCATCACAATTTGCACATGACCGTGAAGGCTGCTGTGCCATTCTCTCGCCTCAAGTGCATTTGTACTGGACAGGCCCGTGTGATGGCACTTGGCAGCTATCTTTACGCTTCTCTAGCCCGTGCAAGCTGAATCAGTGATGGAGACATGATCGAGCCACCAAGACCGGCCATTAACCAGACCGAGCACATGCGGAACTTTATATACTGTGGGGGGTGTAGCTACAACCCCAACTTTTAAAAGTACAACCCCAATGGCAAAACTACAACCCCAACATTGGAAAATTAAGAATCAGCCTAAAACACATGAAAATGAACAAAACATGTATCATACAGAAGCAGATAATTGAGATATATCAAGAAAGTGAAGATATCAATAAATTAGGACATCTTTTTGAATTCCAGATGCTGAAAACATGGAGAGTGATCTGTTAAGAACATATCATTCCGCTGAGACAGTGAGCATGATATGAAAGTTAATCACTTCACACTTCTTAAGCATACTAAGTGAATCATATTGAAAGTGTTCCAAAAAATCTTAACATGTCACATGAAAGTGTGAAGCAAAAAAATCATAACAATCATCATACTTTTGGGTTTTCTCACTAAATATTTCATACCTGTGGGTTGTGCTTATCAAATAGATAAGCATAGATGAAGAGTTTGACACAAAACAGTAAGCTTCAGAAATAAATTAACCTAACCTAAGCCTGCCCTTCACCCTATGTAGCATTCTATCACCACAATCATAATATTGCGTGCCACCAACGACCACAGAACGCACAATCAAAAATACATTTCTAAAGTGAAATATCACTCTGTTCGCAATTTTGTCAGTTGGCACAACACCACCAATCAGCACGAATATTTGGCTAAAATGACGACACTGAAAACCAACGTTGACGACCATGAACCAATCCTGTGCGATAATTAGTGCTGATAATCTTACTGACAGGTTCGCGAACAGAATGCAAAAAAGTCACATGTAAGCCAACATGACGCATCTGATACAAATGCAAGGTTTTGGCGGGACTGGTGTTATTTGTATTGGGCATTGGCTACGCGCCAGCAGTTCTACCTATCTGTAAGAATCTTGGTTCTACCATTGGGTTACTAGGCCCGCTAGATAGGTATATTCTATAGATGGCCTTGGGTATATATTGTTTATATGACATTGGTCGGTACCAAGGGCGGATCCAAGGGGGGCCAACTGTGGCATTGCCCCTCCCAGAAGGACCAAGTGTCATTTGGCCTCTCCCGAAAG